AAACTAAATTTTCTGCTTTGTATCCTACAGTGGTAACTATATCTGGTCTGGAAGTGGTTGTGAGATACAAAAGCTTACCTATAGCTGCTCTATATTTACAATTATCTAGGTTATAAACTCGCTTAATAAGTCAAATCTATAAAAAATATCTTAACAAAATCTACTTTAACACAACGAATTAAATCTTTAATCAATGAAATAAGTAAATTATGCAATAACATTGAAAAACTCTTACCCTCCTCAGCAGTTTCTCCCCTCTAATGATGCTTGCTAAGCAGCATTTTCACTTCCAGCCATCTGTTCCCAATGATATTTATATTTTTATCTGTATTTCAAAACCTATAATTTCTGTTCACTCACACAGTTTTTTTTTTCTCATCCAGGAACTAGGATCTAATGCGTGTACAGCAGCAATGTGAAATCCCACCTATTGTTTCAGATTTAGAATCGTTTCAGATTTAGAAACTACGATTGTATTATGTGTTTATTTATCTATTTTAAATATTTTCACTCCATCTTTTTCCTAGTACTGTATAGTTCTGCTAGTGTAAAAAGGCTAAGATACGAAATGCTAACCCAGGTTCTTCTAAGCCAACAAAACCTGTAACTCATATATCCTTACATTTATCAAAAGATGGTGCTATTGTATTACAAATGCTAATACAATTCTTAGTAGCTGTCTTTAAAAACACAATTCACAGTATGGTGTCTCAGCTATATTCTGACGGATCCTATTATAACTCAGGAATCCTCATAGAATTGCGTCGTCGTTTCCGACTTTTCTTGATCCCATGAACCAGAGCACGTCAGCCACTCCTCTCCTTTTTCCCCCGGAGTTGTATCAAATGCTTCGATTACTCCGTCCAACCATTTCATCCTTTCTCATACTCTTAATAATAAGATAACTTCCCCCCTTTCAAACTCATTCTATTTTTCAACACCAGAAATTAGCTCTACCGAAGCAGAGCCTCAAAAAATTGGTTACAAACTCATAAATGTTCCTCTCCACGGAAATCTTTAGTAAAAGGCGAAAGATTTATACGATCTGAAGAGAAACCAGAGTATGCCTAAACGCTGTCAGGTGGCGCCACCGGGAAGCGTCCGGCAGCTCCTCAGGTCAGTGTGAGCACAGCACTGGCACGTCAGATTTAAGCCTTTGTGCAAAGAGTAGAAGACCGAACCTGGAATGCAAACTTAATAATAAAAAAGCATTAAATCAACGTGTGAATTGCTTAGAACTCTTCGACATGCACTAGCTCTGTCGCAATGCATTCTGGGTATGCAAATTAGGCAGTGCTCGTCCCTCAATTCTAAAGGGCGGAGGCACCACCCCCTCTTCCTCGGTCGGCCGTCCTGTGAGGTCTGCCCTTCGTTCTGACGCTGAGGATGCCGGGAAAAGTTGAACGGGGACGCCTCGTCTCTGACTCCCTTTCGCGCAGCCGGGGGGGGGGGGGGGAAGGGAATTGATCGAGGGAAAGCCCAGTGGCTGGGATGGACATTTAGTCAAGTAAAAGAAGGGCTGGAATCATCATAACCTCTTTTACACAAAAGATACTAGGCAACATTTGTGCCTACAAGTAGAAAATCACAACTGTTTATTATATATATTTTATATAAGCGTGAATTGCAAAGTTTTCTGATGCTCGAATAAAAATAGCACCTCAGGGAGAAAGAGTATCTCTGAGCAATAAAATCCTACTAAATTCTCAGGAGTCATTTTTCATTTGGTAAATTTAAAAAACTAAAGCCAAAGTCTTGTGATGCCTTGAAGACTAACAGATGCATTTAAGTATGAGTGGTAATCAATTTCATAATCATATCTCGTCAGTTTCACAATGTTATTTGGGGGTTTGCTTTTCTTGCTCCTTGGTTTGCTCCAAATATCAATAGAAAGTCTCAGTCTTGATCCTGACTCAGAGCAGTCTCTTCCTCTCATTTCATATTTATTAGAACACAACTGTTTAGGTTGTGGGTTCTTTTATTTGTCTAGCCTTTCCAAAAAATCCTCCTTTATTTCTGTATCTCAGCTTCATTCTCTTATACAGTACTATTTCCCCCTTTCTCTCAAGATCAAGTTTCTCTGTGCACCTTTCCAAGTCACTCATGAAGGTGATGCACTTCTCATTCCTCTCTGAAGTCCTATTTCTTTGCTAAATGAAACTTCAAGCAGAGATGAGGGATGGCTCACATTCAGCAGGGTGCAGAGTCTTCTGAAACATAAAAGCAGATCTAACATGTCAGTCTGCTCCAGAAAACCATCTGTTGTGGCCATTCTGTACTGCTCCTTTTGACCTCAGGGGTTCATCTTCCAGCGTCATATCTTTTAGCCTTTTGTTTCTGCCCATGGAGTTTTCTTGGCAAAGATACTGGAGTGGCTTGCCAGTTCCTGCTCCAAGTGGATTGCATTTAGTCATTACTCTCCACTATGATACTGGAGTGGCTTGCCAATTCCTACTCCAGCTGGATTGCGATTAGTCGGAACTCTTCACTGTGACCTGTCCGTCTCTTGGGTATCCCTGCACAGCATAGCCCATAGCTTCTCTGAATTACACGCCTCTTCGCCACGACAAGGCAGCAATCCATGAAGGGAATTTTGAATACTACCAAACAGCAATAACTTTATATTGCAGATACACAATAACCACCGTCTTATAGAATTCTGGATTGTGTAGTCTGGTGAGATGCTCAGAATTGTCTGCTAGAAATCTCTAGTCCACCTCCATGAACAACACTACTAGAGCTTTGTAGGAGATAACTCTGACCTTGCCAAACAAGCTATCTCAGTGTTCTGTGTGATTGATCCATTAGTTAAAGTGGTGGCAGATGGCTCTCATAGGCTGAAATCGTTTTGCAAGTTATACCACTGCCATTTTAGGATCATTACAAATTTCTCTCTCCCTCCCCCCATGTTCCGAGAATCCCATGGCTCTCCTTCAAACTGGGAGAGATGTTGGGAGCCACAGAATGGGGGAGGGAACGCTTTAGTGCTTGAAAATCATCTCCTACAATCCCACCAGGGTCATTTGGTTGGGGCTAGTGGAAATAGAAGCTTAAATCAAAGAGGTTCCACATCTTGGTTTCAGGACTTATTGTTGTATTTTCTTCCCTTGGTTCTTGTGCATGTGTACACAAATAAATAATTGTTTATCAAGCAAAGATTTCTGGCCTCAAAATAAGGGGTTGTAATGGTACACGATGGCACATCTGACAGCCTGAACAGAGAAAGTAGTGCATGCCACAATTCTGCCTTGTGAGTTTCCTTGTTGCATCTTTCAACTGAACTGCAGTTTGTCAAGCTCAGCTTTACTGTCACAAAGCATCAATAGCTCTTGGCACACTTCCCTTTCCATCCACAGCAGAAGCTGTAGTAATTTGGGGAATAGGGAAAACTCAAAATATAGACAACATGCAAGGTTTTAAATAAAATTTCAACACTTTCCCCCTCCAATTTGGTGCACTTTAGCTATTGCCACTAGGTTGCAAAGATTTTGCACCATATAAAAATATTAAATAATTATAAAATAATAATGAAAGAAAATTAAATTATTTAGGCCTATGAAATGGGAAGAAAACGGCTTCAAAGAACTAATGTTTTTTTCATCAATCTACTGTATCCTTCTGAGGTTGGTAAACTGAGTACCCAGCTTGCTGGGGGTGGTGGGGCATTAATTAAATTGTAAGCTGCCCAAAGAGTGCTTTAAGCCCTATGGGATGGTATATATGCAGCATGCTTTGCTTTTTAGAATATTAGAGGCAATCTTCACAATTTTTTCACTTTCAAAATTGCTAATAACGTCTGTTGAATTTACGGTACAAATAGTGAGTGGAAGCAGTGATCAATCAAGATTAATAAATTAATATTAATATATTAACCCAAACAATCCCAGTGGACATTTGCCCAGGAGATAAGAGCCCAGAACACAATTCTTCCCATTTTAGATTAGGTTTTGGATGTGAGTTTGTACCTTTGTATCTGGCTGCTTAAATGGTAGCTGTAAATATCTTTGATTCCTTATACGTACTTTTCAGAGGCCTGGATCAATTCTTAACAAGATCATAGTGACATATACCAGTTACAGCTAGAGTGGATCATTAAACATACTCTACATGCGGATATTTTAAAAATATCCTCCGAAATCTCAGTTGATTGAGATTATGGCAGCGAGGATGCTAGTTGACACTGGCTCATTGAATCTTATTATATCAAACCTCCAATAGCTTCAATAGTTACTAGCCAGCCTATTTCTTGGCACATTTCAAAGTTCTGGCAATTACCTCTAAAGCACTAAATGATTAGGGTACCATTTCTTCCTAAAACATCCTGCCTATAGCCTAAGACGTAGATAGGAAGATTTTTGATTTAGGGTGTATTGTTAGCACCAACAGTATATTAGGTTGTGTTGGGGGAATATCTTTGCGTAAGGTGTTGTGGGTGGACGACTGCGCCAGCTTTCCAGGCCGCGTAAATTTTTTTTAAGACAGCGTAAAAAGAAAATTCCTCAGGTGTAGTTTGCGACACAGAGAGGAGCCCTGCTGTCTTCACATCAGGCTCCCACAGAGGAGTCCCTTCTCATGACAGTGTATCTTCTGTTATCAATCCCTCCTCACACCGATGTTCCGAATCGATAAGCCGAAACCAACCGCCCTTGCCTCCCTCCCTCATGAAGCAATGACATCATAGCCTTCAAACTTCCTCTCGATACTGTCCTACATACAGAATCAGGAGGAAGGGAAGTGGCAGTAGCGCACGCAGCTGTTGGGGGAAAAAAAATAAAAGGGCACCCTTGCTCATACGCTTCCTTCCACGGGTCATTTTTAGACTACCTTCTAACCTTACATTACAGCACTCAACACCCCCCCACGACTATCGCCGTACAGTATTTCTGAGGCAGCACGCCTGCGCTCTAAAAACCCACATTTCTTCCCTCAAGATGCGTCTGCTCAACGGGAACAAGCATGTCCCACCTCGCGCTCCGTACGCCAGAAGCCCCGCCCCTTTTCGCATTGGCTCCTTTAGAGCGCCGGCGCTTAGATGACGCCCCGATGACGAACCCGCGGCGGGCGTTTAAATTGGAGAAGGCGGTTTTTCTCCTCCGTGGCCATGTCGATGTTGTCCGCTTTTAGCAAGCTTCCGACTCTTAACGCCGCCACTATTTTGGTAGGTATTTGTGAGTAGATTAATAAAAAAAAATTAGAGGGAACCGTCCCTGTTCTTCTTATCGTCTTAGTTTTTCCCTAACACTGTAATCTTATTTTAGTAGTATTGAGAAGCAAGCGCGGGTTTTCAGGCTGGCCAGTCTGCGCGACGCTTATACTGTAGCTATTTAACCCTTTTTAAAAGTTCTTCTAAGTTGTGGAACTGGTCATTGTTTTTTCTCATTAATTTAGCGTTTTCCCTCTCATCCAACATAGGAGCGATATCGAGTGCTTTCCCTAATCCACCACTGGTTTGGGCGTCAGGGATCAGCTGTTGAAGCGTCCAGTAAATTAGGGAAACTGAGCATATATAGCATATTAGGCCAATTAAAAAAATCAAATTAGATTTTTTCAAATTAAAAACAAACCTTATTGTTGCACCTTTTAAAGACTAGCTATTACATATTTTATTGTAAGCTTTTGTGGACATTCTTAGCCCACTTTGTCAGACATATGAGGTGGAAAACGGATTAATCTGAGCATATAAAGCGTCCATTTCCCCCTTTGCCCTGGGAATATCTCTTATACTTCTCTGTCCATAAAAAGAGGGAGGAAATGTACAACTTTTACATATCTACAGAAAATATGTAACCTTTCTGTTTCAGTATCCTGTAAATCTTTTTTCCTAGCTTGTATTTACTATCTGTCTTTTACAAAATTTAGCTTCAGCTCTCTTATTTCATCCTCCACCTTTACCATTTGTTTTAGATTCTTTAATATTCAAGCCCCTGTCTATACACTTCATCGTATCCTAAATCAGGCTTTCCTTCCTACTGTACTTCCTCTGCCATTTATACTCCATATTCCCTTCAATTTCTTCTCCATTTTCTCTACTATATGTTTAGGTTGTAAAATACCTGTATCTAGCCTCGATCTCCTAGCTTCTTTATAATCACATGTAACCTTAAACTCCATGTTCACCAGTGCATGCTCTGTTACTTTTATTAATCCTGCGTCTGTTTTACAACTCTGGATAACAAATCATTACATACAAATACATATAATCTGTTCTAGAATTATTTTTATACACTGATAAATAAAAAGTAAAGTTATTTTCATCTCAATTCTCTATTATAAAATAATAGAAGTAGAGGATAAAGAAGAGGTTTTAAAGATTCCATGGGAAACAGATTTGGGAAAGAAAATATGTACTGAGAAGTGGGACAAATTATGGAATAAAAGAATTTTAAAATGTATGTAAGAATAAAAGAACATTTTTATACATTGGTTTGCAGATGGTATATAACACCAGTGAAATTGAATTATATGGATAAAAAAATTACTCCAAAATGTGTTGGAGATGAAGGCAAGAAGTGGGAATCTACTTACACATGTAATGGATATGTGAATATATAATTACATTTGGAAGTTGGTTTTCAAAGAAATAATTGAAATATTACATTTTAATCTAAGACATGTCCAAAAATAGCACTTTTACTGATATTTGAGAGGGTACAATTGAAGTTGACTTAGAATTGATTGTAAATTGATTAACAGCTGCTAAATTAATAATAGCAAAGAACTGGAAAGTTAAGTGCAATGTCCAACTAAATGAATGCTATAAAGTGTGAAATATAGCTATTAATGATAAATTAACGTGTGAAATTAGAATAAGAAAAGTAATATTAATTAAAAATGAGTTTGGAGATATAGGGGGAGATTTTGTCAATTTTGTATTAACCAAAGGGAAGTGTTGTGTACCTTACCAAGAGTAAATTTATTTTTGGAAGGGGAATGGAGTTCCATAAAAGGAAGAAATAGATTGTCTCCATTGGTCGCGGTGAAGCGTAGCACAATAAGTGTATATGTACATTTTTTTAGTTTTATTATTTGTTTAATATATTAAAAGAAAAGATGTAACTGTTCTATAGTTCTGAACCCCAGGTTTTTTATGCTATGTTCTGATTTTGTAGCTATAATAATGACAGTAATGACATTTGCCCAAATTTTCGTTCAGTGTTAATGCTACAAGTCTGTCCATTCCTGAAATTGAACTTTACATTAAAAGTCAAAGGTGAACATAAAGGCTGCACTTGATAAAAGAGAAATAGGGGAAGGCACAACTATGCAGTGTGAAAAATTTTCAGAAAATTTTGCAGTGGTTAGTTTGTCAATGGCTTAAAAGGAATTCTTCCATAAAATTCATCTATAACAATGAAAGGATATCTTATTTCCTCACTTTGAAATTGAACTTAAGTCATGCAAGTTTTCTCTGTGGGAGGGAAATAGCTGGGTGACTCGGGCAGATTGTACATCATTTCCTTGGAATATTATAACTAATTTGTTTTTTGTTTATAAATTTTTTAATTTTTTAAAATTATCATAAACTGTATCATAAAATACATAAATCAAAATAAAAGTCAATTGTGTTCCCCACCACCCTAGTTGGGACCTCTTGCAGTAGTCTTTTTCCATTGTCTTCTTTATTGTCCTCTTCTCCAGAACTGCATTGATTTGTCATTTGGAACTTTTCCTTTTCCTTTTGTTAGCACATATTCAATAAATCTGCCCCATAAATCATAAAAAATTATTTTTTAAATCTCTCAATTCTTGACCTTTAAATTACAAGGTAATTTATCATTTATAGCAATATTCCATACAGTATTTCATTATACTGTACCCTTCTTCCATTTGAAATTCAAGTTTTGATTTCCAGTTCCTGGCTGTTATTTTTCTGGCTGCTGTTAATAAATTGGCAATCAACTCTAGTCATCATACCATACTCCACATTTACAAATATTGATAACAAAGCTATCTCAGGATGAAATTCTTTATCCTTTCACATATATCAGTTAATTCCTTAAAGATTAATTTCCAAAATCTTTGTAGTTTTTCACATTCCAACCACATATGAATCAATTTCCTTCTCACATTTCCAACAGATATTCAGATAATTAGAGTTAATTTTATTCAGTTTTATCGGTATAAAATACCGATAATTTTAAACATAGTTTTAACATTTTTCTTTTATTCTCACCGACATAAATTGTAAAACTTTTTCCATATCTTCATCCATTCTTCACCATGTTTTGCAAAATGTAAAGACAAATTACATTCTTAAATAAAAAAAGAAAGAAAACATATTTAATGTCATCAATATATCTACAGTATACAGTGGTGCCCCGCATAAGGAGCAATTTGTTTAACGATGAATCCGCATAGTGATGTGTTTTTTGCGATCGCATTGCGATGCTTTAGATGGCAAAACATCGCTTTGCGATGATCGGTAAGCTTTTCGCTTACTGATTTTCGCATTGTAATGTTTTAAAAACAGCTGATTGCCGGTTCCAAAATGGCAGCCGGGTAAATAAAATGGCCGCCCGCAGTGTTTTCGCGCCCTTTCCTCGCTTACCAGGCAGCGAAAATGGTGGCCGCATGGAGGATTTTTGCAGAATGGTGAGTTTTTTGCCCATAGGAACGCATTAAACGTGTTTTAATGCGTTCCTATGGGCTTTTTTGCCCCACATAGCAACGAATTCGTATAGCGACGATTTTTTCGGAACGGATTATTGTCGCTATGCGGGACACCACTGTATATAATATAAAAGTAAAATTGCATTAAGTATGCTTCCTACTTTACCTAATTAAAAATTCAGTTTGGATATCTATGGGATGTTGGGACCTCAAAAAGTTTAGTTGGTACTGTATGGGTAAAATAAATCAGATCAGCTTCTAGTTAAGACATGACATTTTTCCAGTTCAACGTTTTCCACAAAGTCTGCATCTATGAATGTGGGGAACTAGACAGTAACAGGTCAGAATGGTTAACTTTTTAAAAGTAATTGGCCCAATTTTGTTTCTCTTATTTTCTCCTTCATAGTTGGTAGGAACAAATGATGTTTTCCAGCAGCAACTGGCAGAGACAATTCTTAAAGAAAAGCAAGACCTAAAAGTAAATATGTAAGTGGCAAATAGTTAAATTTCTTTTATTTTAACTTTGAAAACAAATGTGAAAGACAGTTTTAATGCTTGTGTTCATTTTATAGTTTTCTGTAGAACACTACCTATCTAAAGGAACAAATGCTTTGTCTACAAGGTAATTCTGTGATAAAGTGCAGCCTTCAAATGAGAGAAAAACTCTACAATCATTTATTACCTTGCTAAACTGAATTCTTAGTTTCATTCATGAGTTCATTCAGAGTAAAAGAAGCTTGGACAAACGGGATATATATTGCTTTCAGTCTAAAAAGTGGCAACTATAAAGGCAGAAATGGGCATTACTGGTCTAAAAATCCTGTTGCATGACCTTCAGACTTTAGATATGCCCACAAAAAATTTAATATTTGATAATGGCTTTTGTTGCATACTTTTTTACTTGAAATGGTCTAGCTGAATGCATCATTGTTAACGTTTTCTGTTGTCCTTTTCCCATAAAGCTCTTCAGATTAAATTTATTCAGAGTTTTACCCTAACAAAAAAAATGTATCATGTTTCTTTCAGCCACTTGACAACCTCTCTCCCTTTACCAGCAGAAAGAGATCACATTCGGCCTCGGATTGACTTGATTGTCTTCATGATTGACATTCAAAGCAAATACAGGTATATGCAGAAACAATCTTAAAATAAAATGTTAATGCCACTGGAGTGTTGTATCTGCATGCAGGAAATCCATGTTCAGGTGTCTGCATAGCCATGAAGCTCATAGAATTGTTTGGGACAATTGCCTATGTTGTGCCAAACCACTTTGAGACTTTCTGTTCTGAAGGGTAAAAACAAACCAAAAAAATTATACAGTAAATGATCTTTCAATCGAAGCTATCACAGTAGGTGTGCAAGGATAAAGCAATCCAATTGCAGTCCATTCTCAGTGAGAAGCTAGAGCACAGGTAGAATAAATAATGTCCAGATAGTTAAATCCACAGTACAGTCTTGCTGCGATATCTCAGTTCTCAACAATTCAAAACATAATCAAGTACCTTATAAGCACAGCAATGCTGGACCATATTGCATGACTATTATATCTCATGTCTAAACTGTTCTTTAAATATAAGGCTAAAATAGCTTTTTATATATAATGTGGACACTTTTGCTCTCAGGGTTTGGAACACTCCAAAAGTATCAGTGTAAATAAAATTAGCCTGGAATGACATATGTGGAAGTGCATAATTTCTATTACCACAGCTGTACTAATAAGTTGTAATCTGGTTACACCAGTTGATTATACTTGAATAATGTTAATGAAATGTTACAGATCAAAAAGTGGCTTGTCAGACTCGTATCTTTCAGGTATTCACTGAGATGGAAGGAGCTATAATATATGAAGGTTAAGGATTCAGTTCCCATTGAATTACTGTATTTTTCCATTTATAAGACATCCCCCCACTTTTCTAATCCAAAAATTAAGGAAATTTAGCTTTGAGTATTCAGCCTCTGGGCTCAGACATTAGGAGTCCCTGTCGAATCTGAGCCTACAGGCTGCACCTCCAACAAGGTATGTTCCAGTTGGTTTGGTCAGCATCAGCGGACATCAGTTCCATAAGGCTCATGATTGGAGGAAGCTAAGCCTTGTGACTGAAGCCTGTTTACAAAGGCAAGGTACAGGCCCTTTTTGTTCTCTCCTCAGCTATCTCAGCTTACTTCCATGTATAAGGTGCACCTCAATTTTTAGTGTAATGATTTTAGGAAAAGTATTGTCTTATACACAGAAAAATACAGTAGTCATATTTCTAGCTTCATGATACTTGGTTATCTGCCCACTGAGCAGACCTTTTCCCTTGTTTTTCCTCCTACCTTTTGATACTTGGTAGTCCTTGTAGGAATAGAGGAAGTTTACTGTGTGTATATGTATATATAAAAGCATAAATAGATAATACTGTAAATGAACAAGGCCTTAAGCAAGATATTCAGGGTTCCTGCAGGATGCAGTTAAATCACTAGAAACATATAAAAGTGACTTGCTTCCATTTGTTAGTTATTGTTATCAGTGTGTGTATATGTATACATTCTTTCTCTTCCTCTCCCTTTCTCTCCCTCTTAGGAGTCTTTTCTCAAATTCTAAGTAAACAATGCACTTTGTTTTCTTTTACTTTCCCTCTCCACCAGTTTTAAGGATATTGAAGCTTCACTGGTACATGTAGATGCCAGCTTTTTCCTTGGAAAAGTGTGTTTTCTGGCCATGGGTGGTACGTATAAAGCATCCTTCCTGTTCCAGAATTTATTTTTTAAATTACCATGACAAAAATAGTTTTAATCTCCAGTAAATGCTTAATTTCAATTTAAAATTTGCTGTTGAACATATTTCTTCTTAAGCTTACAGCTTTAGAAATGCATTCCTACTTCATTTGGGTATTGACTTGTAACTGCTTGTTTCTAATACCATGTTCTGTTACTACCAAAATTGTATAAGAAATGCTAAATGTATTTGCCTACTTACACTACAGGATGTTTGTTCAGTGGAAGGACTTGGAAAATGTTCCCTTTTTGTTGATGTTTTTTATCACAGAAATCAGGGATAATGGAACACGAATGAAAATAAAATTTAGGCTAGCAAAAGATATAATCCATAAGGAGGTGATGTCATATTAAAAAAATAATTTGCACAGCTGAAAATGTTTTCACTTTTCTGTTCCCCGTTTTATACAGCTGGTAGAATGAATCAAATCAGTGTGGATATAAATGCTGTCTTGAAGCTGGCAGATCGTTACTGCAGCCCTATTCTTTTTTGTGAATTGGAAGTAAGGATCTCTATTATTTTTACAATACAGTCAGTAAGTCTTGCAATTATGTTAATATATTCAAAGGATCATAGAATAATTGAGTTGAAATGGCTTATAAGGCCATAGAGTCCACCCTGATCAATGCAGGAATTCAAATCAAAGCAGATCTGACAGGTGACTGTCTGGTTTTCTGTTGAATGTCTCCAGTGCTGGATGGATCATACTGTGTGTTGCCTGAATTTAAATGCTTCTTATTTCTGTTGTCAGCTGTTGTGACCTTTGGCAGAGTTCCTGCTTTAAAGGACACAAAAGAAGATACAGTGGTGCCTCGCACAACGAGCGCACCGTAGAGCGATGAATTCGCTCTACGGTGACGCTTTTGCGATCGCTAAAGCGATCGCACAACAATGGCCCCAATGGGCAAAAATCGCAGAGCGAAGGTCGGTAAGCTGCTCGCTTACCGACCTTCGCTTTGCGACCCACCGATCAGCTGTTCGGCGGGTAAAAAATGGCCGCCGGAACAGCCGAAAGGGGCCGGGGCGCAGCGTTTTCGCGCCCTTGGTAAGCAAGGGGAGCGCGAGAAAACGCTGCGGAAGCCCCGAAATGGCTGCGTGCAACCATTTCGGGGCTTCCGGCAGCGTTTTCGCGCGCTCCCCTTGCTTTCCAAAGGCGCGAAAATGCTGCGCCCCGGCCCCTTTCGGCTGTTCCGGCGGCCATTTTTTACCCGCCGAACAGCTGATGGCAGCCATTTTGGCACCCTCGTTCTGCGAGGGGAGGGCGCGAAAATGGCTGCCGCCTATGGAGGAACTTCGCTGAACGGTGAGTTTGAAAGCCATAGGAACGCATTGAACAAAGTTCAATGCGTTTCTATGGCTTTTTCCCTCCCGCACAGCGATGTTTCCCACAGCGAAGGTTAATCCGGAACAGATTAACCTTGCTGTGTGGGGCACCACTGTAACTGGTCTTGAAGAGCTACAACAGGGGTGTGATGAGCATTCTTTTCTGGTTTTGACTATAAATAGCTGGTGCATTTGAGAAGTTAATCCTTTAATTCATCCACCGCTATTCTCCAACTGTGTCTGTTACTAAATGAGCTCTCAGATATGAGCATAACGTCTACTTTCTCATTGCTTGAACAAGTATAATTTGGGGTTAGAGCACTTCACTTGCTACAAAACTAGAGAGGAAGCTTAGCTTACTTGCATGCACGAGATACTGCTCTTGATACATGCTGCACTAACCATGTTCTCTGGTGCTGGGAAGACAGTGGAACTGGATTGTAATTAAGTATATGTGGTGTAGTGTGGTTCTGTCTTTTATGTTGACTCAGCAATGGCTTTTTGGTCTCTTCCAGTTCTCCAAAGCAAGTGTCTTTTTGACTGCTGCTTCTGTCTTGAGATCAGGTAAATAACTCCCTGACTTCAAGGCTAATGAATGTTTCTCTCTCTTTATTCCCAGTGTGAGAAGATAAGGATTGCCACAGCTCAGCGGCTGCTCCGGATGTTACAAATATGTGCTGGTCATTTATCCGGGATATCTGCTCTCTCCTTCAGTTCCTTAATGAAAAGTTCCATTGATGACTCCAGTTTCATGGAATAGAAACTACTTTTGTAATATTTACATGGAGCAGTTCTTAGTAAACAGAAGCGCTCATTCTATTTGAAGTAAGCAACACCACAAATCTTATACATGGAGAAGTCATAATGAAACATCTCAGGCGTTAGGTTTAAGATTTTGATTCATTAGTAATAGAGATGAGATTGATTCAAAGTGAGAGATTTCTAGTTTCTGTTTCAAACATAACATCTTTAGGTTTGCCATGGAAGATCAAATGCCCACTAGATAAGCACAGATGAGGCAGGTAAACCTGTGCTGTGCTCCAGAACGGATTGATTGTCAAGTATGTTCTAACTGATGTTAATGAAGCAGAGTTTTTCTGACAAGCCAGGCCCAAAGAGAACAATCATGAGAACGTAGATGATGTTACCAGAGGTCTTTTGACAGATTGGCACACATCCACTCAAACTGTTAGATACATCTATTATCTGTAGTGCTTAGAAATATGTCATCAAAATAGAGCTGACAGCAAAGTACCTTAAATCGCACCTAGTAGCAAAAAAATGGGTGGACAAAAGGTCAAGATGCACATATAGGTTAGGGTGGACTTGGAATAGTTTGAAGGAAAAATATTAAAGTTAATGAAACATCTCTCAGAAGTAAAGTTAAAGATTCTGGTTGATTAGTAATAGATGAGATTGCTTTACACATATAAATTCCTTTAAGATCTTAAATGTTTGGGATAATTATACACTGGAAAAGCAATATATGTATTTTCCCTCCAAAAGTGTATAGCTTTTCTACTTGAAAACTAAGTATAGTTTCAGAAGTGTTGCTTTAGTTTTAGTAACAAGTGAAGGCAATGCTTTTGTTTGTCCCACTTAGAGGATCATGTTTCATGGAGGTTGAGTGCTGTCTGTGTAGGAGGGTCATAAGGGTGTGACTGCTGTAATTTACCACATAGTTTGGGACGGAGCTGGCATGATGAAATTTGATGTGTTTTCTGTCAGATACACAATGTACATTTAATGTCAAATATGCCCAGTAGTTTTGTTGCTATTATGCAGCCTGCAGGGGCAATGTTCTTTGCAGTAACTCTCCGCCCATTGCTTGTGCCATAGAGAAGTAAATGGCAGGATATATTTTTTAAAAAATTATTAGTAAGTGACATAGGGCTGAAATGATATAGCAACTTGTGAAACTGCAGTGCTTATCTGACAAAGCACTAAACTGGAAAAGCATAATAAAAATTGTGATAAAGCTATCAAGGACTTTTCTCTTGGTTTCAGGAGTTATTAACATGTACAATGGAGAGAGAAAGGGAAAGAACATGCGGTTGCTGGTAGGCATCCATTAGGAGATGTTTGACTCACTTGCAACCACACAATTTCCTCCAGCCATATTCCATTTTATAAGCCATTTGCAGTCTACCTGATGAGTATGTGGCATACTACCAGAAATCCTGGCCAGCAGAGGTGATAGTGAGGGCTTCTGGGAGTTGTAGTCCAAGAACATGTGGAGGCCCAAGGTTGGGAACCACTGGTTTAAATGATCCCTGAACCAATTTTCATATACTCATCAGGTGTGGCTTGGCAGAAAGTTGAAGCAGCGTGCAAACCATTGCACTGACTCAATAATCGATGCAGTTATTGACAAAAGGTTTTACTACTGTTCTACAATGTGGACTACTTCCATCATTTTTGTGTATATTGTGCCTTGTCTGAAGCACATGTTTAGGGAGCCAGCACTGAGCAACAATTAGGTTTATCCTTTCTACTGCGCAATAAACTGTGGTGCCACATGGAAAAAATGTGTCATTATGCTTGTGATAGCTATCTACTTCATCCAATGTGTGAAGTGTTGGTCTTCAGTAAGAAGAGATGCACATACAGGTGTAGAGAGAAGTGATAACTAGAGTCGAACGGCTATGGAATGCAGGGAACAGCACGTGGAATACTGAATAGTGTATAGTCAGTCCTTGTTTATGTGCTTGTCTCTGCCTTGCTGTACTTACCATAACCACAAGGTGGTGGTAAATGCTTATTAAATAGATATTAGAGGCGTCAGGTAAGGTTCCTCATACTGCTAATACTGTTGTACAAATAAGATGTCTTATCCAAGAAACAAAATTCCTCTATGAAAATTGCTTGTTGTTGTTTAGTCATTAAGTTGTGTCTGACTCTTCATGACTCCATGGACCAGAGCACACCAGACCCTCCTCTCTTCCACTGCCTCCAGAGTTGGGTCAAATGCATGTCGGTAGCTGTGGTGACACTGTTCAACCATCTTGTCCTCTGTTGTCCCCTTCTCTTGCCTTCACACTTTACCAACATCAGGGTCTTTTCCAGGGAGTCTTCTCTTCTCATGACATGGCCAAAATTGGAGCCTCAGCTTCAGGATCTGTCCTTCCAATGAGCACTCAGAGTTGATTTCCTTCAGAACAGATATGTTTGATCTCCTTGCAGCCCAGGAGACTCTCAAGAGTTCTCCTCCAGAACCACAATTCAAAAGCATAAATTGTTTGGCAGTCAGCCTTCTTTATGTTCCAACTCTCACTGCCATACATTGCTACTGCAAAAACCATAGCTTTGACTATTCGGACTTTTGTTGGCAAGGTGATGTCTCTGCTTTTTAAGATGCTGTCAAGGTTTGGCATCGCTTTCCTCCCAAGAAGCAGGTGTCTTTTAATTTCGTGGCTGCTGTCACCGTCTGCAGTGATCATGGAGCCCAAGAAAGTAAAATCTGTCACTGCCTCCATATCTTCCCCTTCTATTTGCCAGGAGATGATGGGACCAATGGCCATGATCTTAGTTTTTTTGACGTTGAGCTTCAGACCACTTTTTGCACTCCTTTTTTACTCTCATTAAGAGGTTCTTTAATTCCTCCTCACTTTCTGCTATCAGAGTGGTATCATTTGCATATCGGAGGTTGTTGATATTTCTTCCGGCAATCTTATTCTGGCTTGGGCTTCATCCAGTCCAGCCTTTCGCATGATGCATATAAGTTAAGCAAGGAGACAATGTACAGTCTTGTCATACTCCTTTCCCAATTTTGAACCAATCAGTTGTTCCATATCCAGTTCCAACTGTTGCTTCCTGTCCCACATACAGATTTCTCAGGAGCTGGATAAGGTGGTCAGGCACTCCCATTTCTCTAAGGACTTGCCATAGTTTGCTGTGGTCCACACAGTCAAAGGCTTTTGCGTCGTCAATGAAGCAGAAGTAGATGCTTTTCTGGAACTCTCTGGCTTTCTCCATAATCCAGCACATGTTAGCAGTTTGGTCTCGAGTTCCTCTGCCCCTTCGAAATCCAGCTTGTACTTCTGGGAGTTCTCGGTCCACATACTGCTGAAGCCTACCTTGTAGGATTTTAAGCATAACCTTGCTAGCTTGTGAAATGAGTGCAATTGTACGGTAGTTGGAGCATTCTTTGGTGCTGCCCTTCTTTGGGATAGGGATGTAGACTGATCTTTTCCAGTCCTCTGGCCACTGCTGAGTTTTCCAAGCTTGCTTGCATATTGAGTGTAGCACCTTAATAGTGTCATCTTGTAACATTTTAAAATAATTTAAAAATGCAAGCAATTATTGAGGAATAACAATTTATCAGCATGAGAAGTTGAATTCTGCCTTGCTAACTTGCTGAGGTTGACTTTGGTGAATCTGACTTCTGAAGCTAAAAAAAGATGAGCCAAACAAAGCCTGCCAAGAAATAAAGCTACAAAATGAGCAAATGCTGATTTTAGCAGGTGCTAGCATTTCTCCCATCAGCATATATACAGCTGGCCGGGGAAGAACATCCTAAGGGAGCAGTAATGAAATTGTGTTACTAAAGCCGTTTAAAACTTGACAAGGGCCCTGGAGAACAATATGTAGAGAGTAATTCTGCATATTAGCCAGAGGTGATTGCACATGAGCAACAAACATGACCTGCTCTGCCAGACTGTGCCTTTCGCCATCTCCTGATGCCTTTGATTTTTATGCTGTTCAACATAATAACCCAGGATATTTAGTCACCCCATTCCCAAGACAGCAGAGAAGATTAATTAGCCAATGTCCGTGCAGTGCTTTGAAGATGGGAAATGCTAGACGCAGGAAATGCTCTGTATGTTGAACTTGGTAGAGGATGAAAGCCTTTTCTGAAGCAATCTGCTTTTTCATTATTGGTAGGCTGAATTTTAAATAGGGTGTGAACAAAATAATCCGTGGCAGTATAGGGAAAGTTAGAGGAAGAATAAACTTGCCTACATGTGAGAGAGAGTTCACACATACACAAGATGTTTTCCTAACTGAGTTCATTCACATATCAAACAGAAGCAAGGATCTTGTATGATGGCGTAACTGTAAAATACTGAGAGCTCAAAAAATGTTACTTTTCAATCACGGCTCCCAGAATCATCAGCCAGCATGGAATATGTGGAGATGTGTTTTTTTAATTTTATTTTATTTTACAACTTTTCATAAATTTAGCACAGTCTTATGTTGGATGCAGCTCTCAAAGTACAATCAAGCACTATTAAGGACATTCTATGGGCAGTGGAGCAACATCTTTCACTACAGCACAGCAAGGTAGCTTAGGGGTGCAGGCCATATAATACATGGAGCTTGCTTTGCTCATTCTGTTCCTCATCTGAGTAACTTTTGCCTGAGGTGACTGCCTAATTCTGCCTGATCTTGTCTGTGTGGTAGGGGATCACTATAGGATTCAATGGAACCCTCTTCCCTGACCCCACTCCATCTGGCACATACCTTGGCCATTCTTTACAGTGAAAGGTCTATGTATGCCTTCCATATGCTCTTCCAACTCTTCATCTCTTCCCAAGGAAGACTGCAATTAATTTCTGCCCAGAAAACCAACAGCTTTCAAGTTGTGGGGAGTAGAGGATCTGTTGAATGAATGAGGTGGAGGTTCATGGGAGTCTCATAAGCAGATGCACAGTTATGGCAGGACTGAGCAGCAGTCAAGTGGAAAGACAGAATATGTAGTTCTGCTTGCAGAGAAATTAGGTCCTGTCTACACTGTTTCTTTGAAGTGAGCTAAATAGCATACCTAGGAGGTTCAATATGCCTTTTGGTGCAATCCTTGCATTCTCTTCATGATGTTAACAAGTTAAACACGTCCTTGGTTCTGTGGAGATGAAGAGGACATGATAAAAAAAATTTTCAGTATATTGGAACAGCACAGATGTGCTGCAACACTACTGAGGAGATACCTAGGAGGTTCAATATGCTTTTTGGTGCAATCCTTGCACTCTCTTCATGATGTTAACAAGTTAAAAACCTCCTTGGTTCCGTGGAGATGAAGAGGACATGACAAAAAATTTTTTTCAGTATATTGGAACAGCACAGATGTGCTGCAACACTACTGAGGAATGAAAAACAAATGGAAAACTTCCTCCTGGAAGCAGGCAGGGATATTGGCAAGTCCTCTGGCCCAAGTCAGAGTTCAAGTCTTGGGTCTCAAATCAGAGTCATAAGAAGAGCCCTGCTGGATCAGGCCAAGGGCCCATCTAGTCCAGCTTCCTGCATCTCACAGTGGCCCCACCAGAGGCCTATGGGAGCACACGAGGCAACTAGATACCTGATACCCCTTCCCTGCATCTGGCATTTGGAGGTACCTTCCTTTTAAGCCAGGTGATGATACATCCTCATCATAGCTTATAACCTGTGATGGACTTTTCCTCCAGAAATCTGTCCAATCCCCTTTTAAAAGCATCTAGGCCAGATGCCATCACCACATCTTGTGGCAAAGGGTTCCACAGACTAACAACATGCTGGGTGAAGAAATAATTTATTTTGTCTGTTCTCACTCTCCAACACTCAATTGGAGTGGATGTCCCCTGGTTCTGGTATTGCGTGAGAGGGAAAAGTGCTTCCTTCTATCCACTTCATCCAGCCCCTGCGTCGTTTTATACGTCTTAATCATGTCCCCCCTCGGGTGCCTTTTCTCTAAAGAGCCCAAAACGCTGTAGCCTTTCCTCATAAGGGAGGTGACCCAGCCCAGTTATCATTTTAGTAGCTCTCTTCTATACCTTTTCCAGTTCCTCTATGTCTTTTTTCAGGTATGGTGACCAGAACTGTACACAGTACTCCAAGTGCAGCCTTACCAGTGTTTTGTACAATTACATTATAATGTTGGCTGTTTTATTTTCAATCCCCTTTTTAATGATACCTATGATGGAATTGGCCTTCACTGCCGCTGCACGCTGGGTTGACACTTTCATCGAGCTGTCAACCAGAACACCAAGATCTCTTTCTGATCGGTCACGGACAGCTAAGGAACCATTAGCCAATAAATAAAGGTTTGAGTTTTGGTCCCGATGTGCATTACTTTACATTTTCTTATATTGACATGTATTTGCCATTTTGCCACCCATTCTCTGAGTTTGGAGGGATCCTTTTGGAGCTCTTCACAATCCCTTCTGCTCTTCACCACCTGGAAAAGTTTTGTCATCTGCAAACTTGGCCACCTCACTGCTTATCCCTGTCTCCAGGTCATTTACGAACAAGTTGAAAAGCACCCGTTCCAGGACAGATCCCTGGGGCACACTGCTCTTCACCTCTCTACATTGTGAAAATTGCCCATCAACACATACTATCTGTTTCCTGATTCTCAACCAATTCACAATCCATAAAGAAGGCCTGCCCTCTTATCCCCTGATGGTGGAGTTTTCTCAGCAGCCTTTGGTGAGGGACCATGTCAAACGCCTTCTGAAAATCTAGATAGACAATATCCACTGGTTTGCCCACATCAACATGCCTACTGACATTTTCAAAGAATTCTAAAAAGTTGGTGATGCAAGATTTACCCTTACAGCTGACTTTCCTTCAGTGAGGCTTGTTCTATGTTTTTTAAGATTTTATCCTGGATGAGGCTTTCCACCATCTTCCTTGGAACAGATGTTAGACTAACTGGTCTGTAGTTTCCTGGGTCCCCCCCCCATTCCCTTTTTAAGTCTTTGCATCTGAGTCATTTGCCCTGCCCCCCTCAGACTTGGGACTAAGAACTCTAATACTAAAGAACTGGGCCTCCCATCCCCA